ATGGGGTGGAAGGGAGCCCCAGGCCCTGCGACCCCGAGGCCCTGGGGGTCCTGGGTGCAAGGGAAGCTCTGGTCTGAGAGTAGGAGCCTAGTTCTGAGCCCCGGGATGACCCGGCAGTGAGGCCCCCGCTGGGCTGGGCAGCTGCACACAAGGAAGCCGGGCCAGGGCAGAGCTGGCCCACACCTCCCGCCACGGGCCTGGGTGACAGTATTTGTGGTGCAGGTGACAGAGGTGGTTTTGCTCTGAGCTCTGCAAGTCAAGTGGGCAGAGACAGGCGTGGGGATTCTCAGCTGGGAGAAGGCAAGAACGGTGTAAAATGCCCCGGACACAAGGCCACCGCCGACCCCAGGAAGGCTGACCCAGGGTGTGGACGGCCCACGGACCCTGGACACAGAGCAGCCCTCCAGGCAGAGCCATGCTGGGACAGCTCCAGGTCCTAGCGTCCTGGAGCTCCAGGCAGAGCCATGCTGGGACAGCTCCAGGTCCTAGCGTCCTGGAGCTCGTCCTGTGGCCAGCGCCAGGACCCACGTCCTCTAGAAGAGCACTTTACTCCTGAAAGGCCGCTTGCAGAGGTCCATCGACCAGTCACAGCTCAGGAGATGGACATGCTGAGAAGGTGCCCAGACCGATGGTCCTGGCTGGAAGCCAGTGTCCGCTTCCAACAAGCAGTGTGCTTGGCAGGGGGCCAGGCAAGCCCCAGCCCCTCCGTCCCGGGACCTCACCGGTCCTCTGAGCAGGGTGACCACCTCAGGAAACAGGGGCTCTGCAGAGAAGCACAGGTGGCCCTATCCTGGCATCGACTGAAACTTAGCCCAGGGACCAGCACCACATCCTCAAGGGCACTGCAGCCAGAGCTGGGTGCCTGGGTGGGATGGGGATGTCCTAGGGCCTGACCTGGGCATTCTGTACACAAGTCCACCAACTAGACACTTGCCGGAGAGCTCGGTGGGAGGAGGCTGCGGGCTGCGGGCAGGAGTGTTCAGACCAGGCCCCACACACTGCACGGGTCAAGGTGTCCCCGACACAGGTTCCAGTAGACAGGATGGGGACAGACCCATCTGTCTGCACCAAGTAGGCCTGGTCCTGAGGCCTCTTGTGTGTCACGAGGCAGTGCCGGGGCAGGGACGAAACCCCAGAACACGCTCAGGCACCAATCCCCACCATGACTCCTTCCCCCAGGCAAAGTCTGTGCCCGGCAGTGGGGCAGGCCCCGCAGGGGACCACAGGAGTGTGGTCCAGAGGCTTCTGAGGACACTGCCCCTGTGCCTGTCCCCAGGGGTCATGTGGCTGGGTCCCCCCAGCCCATTGGCCCCACATCTCAGAACTGCGGTGCTGGCTCTGCGGTGTTTATGGTAAGAGGAAGGAAGGCGGACGTCAGGCACTTTGTAAAGGCCTGGCTTCCCAGGGCCGTGGAGGCCAAGGTCAGGCTGGACGCTCACGGGGGAGGTGTTCAGGATGTGGCTGGGGAGGGTCTTGGCCATTGGACACCCTGGGGCCTTGGCCGCACCCCCACAGGGGGACTACCGGGATGGAAGCACCGAGCTCCTGCCTCAGCAGCCCTCCTGGCACCGCAGACCCCACCCTCCACAGGAAACGGGCCTTGGTGGGTTGAGAGCGAGGTGGAAAAGCACCACCAGTGGACACCTCCTCCCGGCCCGACTGGGGGAGCCCGTGCTGACCCGGGACGCTGGCTTCTGAGGAGCCTGGGGCTCCTGACGGTCAGGCCCTCATGTCCTCGGGAGGTGGGCCTGCTCCAAAGGCTCTTTGTTGGATCTGTTTGCAAGAAGCCGAGGGAAGGGGCGCGCGGACACCTGCGTGGATCTGGGCCTCTGCTCCAGACTGCGGCCCTCCCCGGGGCCACCCCGCGTCCCTGCTGAGGCACCGTCCTGGGCCCAGGGACCTTTCCTCCTGTGGCTCCCATATCGAAAGACCAGACCCCCCTGGAGCCATGCCCACGAGAACCCTCCCTGGGGCTCCGCTCTTCCTCAGGAGGGGCTCCTAGGGAGACATCCTCAAGCAGTGCATCCTGGGAAACGGCCATGGGGCTGGGGCAG